TATTGGGAGAAATTAGCCTTCATGGTAGACTTTTTAATGGAACTAACCCGCATTTGCGTTACATGATCAGATTATTTATTTATTTATTAGTGTATTACTTAATTAACTAAATTTAAGTTAGCCAGTAACCTGTCGGACTCTTATTTACACTAACGGAGGAAAGTGCCTGTGTGAAAAACGTGGTAGCAGGTTTGCATTTAAATTAACCTTTGCTCTCCGCATACTTTAAAATGTTGTTTGAACTATTACAAGCTCTTAATCATTTAAAATAAATAATACCATACCTGCCAACTTTTAATCCCTTCCATTATCATTTTCCCAGTGGTACTAAAATGAAATTAAAACTTCAATTTTAAGTAAACAAATTCGTTGTATTTGAGAAAACTTAAGTTGACAACCATGATTGTAACGCATATTAATATATGTGCTTAGTTTTTGTAAGAATAGTGGTGATCAAAATCATTTAAAAATTATGTTTATAAAAGAAAAAATAGTTTATATTTACTACCACTTTAAATATGAAAATAAAATCTTCCGGAAAATTCGGAAGAGTTGGCAGGAATGTAATAAAGTACTTTTACGACGATTTTTAAATTTTTGAATCAGTGTGGCTGCTAATTATTAAGTTAAAAGAAATTTTAATTTTAGAGTGGTTTGACTATTGCGACTGACAAAGGCGACTTTGGAGACCTAAGAGCTGAATGCCATAGTCATTGTCTTTTAGTTTTTTAGGCTCTTTACCTATCCATCATGATTGTAATAGATCTATGAAATATTTAAATCATGAAATAGATAGAAGAAATAAAAAAAATCTTTTAAAGTCATTAAATTAATGCAGATATAATTTTATACGAATCTGCGACTGCAGCGGTACTAAGTGCGGCTGCAGCGCCTATAAAATTAATATAAATCGTATGCAGCACCAATTACTTGTTGCGGTGATTAGCCGAGTAAATTGGCTCTAAAAAGGCCTTTGAAGATTATAAAATTAATTAAATTAAATACATCTTATTTGAATTTTTTGGACGAAACTGCGTAGCTTGTAAAATGGCTGAAGGGAACTATTTCATTTTTGTTAAATATGTGTTCTTTAAAATGATAAAGATTGGTAGCTCAAATATTTAATTTTTTGCACTGATAATTGGCAAAATTGAATATTTCTATCAACCAAAATCTATTATTTGTGTAAAATTACGTATCGTGTGAATTCTGATTTTTTTTCTGAAATAAAACAGCTGTTGCGTATTTCATCAAAATTAATACCCAACGGAAAAGAACTTCCTTTTAATTCACTCCCAAGCCTGCTGCCATGTTTTTCTTAACGACATTTTCTCTATTAGAAAAATAAGAGACCAGCAAGTTAACGGCTGAATGGAAATTTTATTCCTTGGCCCGTTTGGTGCCGAATTTATAAATTGAAATGATAGAAAAAGTGGTTTGATGGAAAAAGTGGTATAATATATTATCGAAATTAATTGTTTTTTCTGCTGTTTGGGCATTCAAAAAGTCTATGAGAGATATAAGTCTTTGAGAGATGTAAAAATACTTGCTCCTTATAATTCTAGATCTAATCAGAAATAACTAAATCATTGTGGTATCCGTGAATCTCTTAATTCACCCAGTTAAATGAAAATCCTGAAAAAAGTTTCCCACCACGATGAATGTTTTTGAAAAAAGAAACTGTCCTAAATATATGACGCTGGGCGTTAACCAGTTAAGCTACAAAATTTTCTTTGAAAAATGCAACAATTGATTGATTTCAGAAAAAGATATGTAACACATGATATTTAATTTTATAGGAATATTCAGATTTTCCAAAGAATCAAAGATTTGAGTTACAAGAATTTAACATTTTGAAAAAGAGACATGTTCCAATAATAGAACATTGGTATATAAACGGTTAAACTATAAAATAACTATATTAAATGCATTAAAATAAATAATTTGCTTAGCTTTGTAGAGAAATTTTTTATTAATGTTAGCAAAATTTGGGCTTCAATGTAAAATTCTACGTTTGAAAAATTAATCTTAAACTCAACTTCATTCTAGCTATCTCGAGGTGAGTCATAAATAGAACAATAACTACAAGTTTAAACTTTTTACCATAACAATAATCAATGACTTAATTAACTTTAATAATAGAAAAATTTTAGTTTAAATTGGTAGCTAAAACATTTCACTTCTTTCTTTTTTTTTCCTTTCTTGATATATTGCATTCTTGTCAACTCTTTCGGATTTTCCGGAAGATTTTATTTTCATATTTAAAGTGGTAGTAATTATATACTATTATTTTTTTATATTCTTAATTTTTAAATGATATTGATCACCAATATTCTTACAAAAATTAAGCACATATATTAATATGCGTTACTGTCATGGTTGTCAACTTAAGTATTCTCAAATGCAACGTATTTGTTTGCTTAAAATTTAAGTTTTAGTTCCATTTTAATACCACTGGGAAAGATAATAATGGAAGGGATTAAAAGTTGGCAGGTATGATATTAACACTTACAAGAAATATATTTACCTGTTTTTTAAAAGAAAATGGAAGGAGATGAATTATTTCTGACTAAGATTAACAAAATGTTCATTACAACTTTTTTTTAATTCTTTCCGTATAAGTAACAGACCTGATTATTTTAGATTTTGATAGCTTTTTTGGAATCTTTCATAAAATTAAGGGATTTTATTCAACTTTTTTTAAGATGCTGCCACTTAACATGATTGAAAAAAAATAAGCAGACATTTGATTAGTTCAATTTTTTTTTAAATTTTATTTTACGACACTTAAAATTATTATCAATTAAGTATTGTTTGAGGGGAAAAAATATGATTAGGACAAAAAATTGTGAGTTTATATTAGCTGACCAAAGAATTTACTGCATTAAAAGAAATAAACACTTATTTTTTTAAAAAGAAAAATGTCAGAAAATTAGTTTTGACGTACTAAATAAGTAAGAGTGAAAATTTTCATACAAAGCTACATAGCAGGAAAAGTTACTAATTTAAACTTGATAGAATTCTTTTTGAAACATAGGTTTGTAGAGAATTATTTTCTTCGAAAATTATTACTTAACCCTTTTGAAGGCCGTGGTAAGTATACTTACCACCACGTTTTACCACTTTTAATTTAGGCTTCCATTTTTTAATAACTTCAGCTTTCTTGAAATGAGTTTGAATAAAATTGGTAACCATTTGTCACTTTTAAAAAACGTATTAAAGTTGTAAAATACATAATTCCTTTTGAAGTATGTAGCATTTAAGGAATTTATTTTATAAATAAAGAAAAATAAAAGTCAGTAAGTTCCTAATAGGTCATGTTAAATATATTTACCACCAAGAAAGTGGCATTTTTATAAACTAAATGAGTTTTTTCTTTTTTATATCAATTACTGTTCTTAAAACAATTTCAATTCCAAAAATACTTTAATTTACCTTTACTAGAAATAAAGGGCCCGTTAAAGGATTAAAATAATAATAATAATTATATAAGTAATAGAAAACATTAAAAATCAAAGTTATAAAAAAATACTTCTATGGTCCTTCTTTTACAAGATAGTGAAATAATTTGCCTTATTCCTTCTTCATAAAAATTTATCACCACCTTACTTACTAAGAAATAAAATGAGAAAAGTGAAACAAAATATTTCAAATAAAATGTAAATAGACAACTATTTCAGAATCAATAATAAACGTTATGTTACATAAAATACTTCATATTAATTTAATGGATAACATTATTTCTCTCATAAAGATAACAAATTAAACAATACATAGTAGATATAAAAAAAAACCGGAATCTGTAGCAATAACCAAAGCTGACCTTGTTATTCAACAATTTCCTCAGTGCTATAAAAAATTCGAGTTCATAGCTAATAAACAAATAGTTCTGATTCATTTTTATTGAACTGAAGACACATTTTAACGGAGTTTTTTTTCTCCTTCACTTTATGCACGTGATAAGTTCGTGTTCATGTCAGGCAGGTTACAAGTACATCTTTTTACTCATTCACATTTTTTGCACCCAGTTTACTCCGTTGGGGTTCGAAAAATATTGAAATAGCATAAGCATTATACACACAAATTTTAATTTACTTTTTTTAGGTTGCATTCCTGGGATACTTAATAACCAAAATTCAAAAATTTCTTGGTATTTACGAATTTTATTGAAAATTCAATGGTCATTTGTTCTCCTAAGTTTTATAATTTTTAATTTTTATTTTAATTGTTTTTACGTTTAAAATACTAATGAGTTTGGCTTACTTAGTAAATAAATGTAGTTGATTTGTTGTTTACTAAGATGAAAAATCCATGCATTGAAAGAAGTAAATAATTATAAAAGTAATTGATCATAAAGTAAATAATTATAAAGCTTTCTTTATTTCAAAATAGTTTAGTATCTAGTTTATTTTAAAACTGGATACTAAACAGTCAGAAATACTTTTTGTTAAGTCAAAAAAGTTATTTTGATATTTAAGTTAATTTAGAAAATTTATTGCACAAAAAAATATAAATAAAAAATCTAAACCTATATCCTATATGAGTTTGTTATCTGAGTGTATACAGCCCATTTAAGGGCTTTAACTCATCCATCTGATTGAGTGACTATCCTATTAACGAATCATTTAAAAAATACACTATTCTTTCTTTCTGACATATCTAGTTGTAATATTTATGTTTTTTTAATCATATTTGATTGCGAAAAAAATTAAATAATATTAAGATCAATTTAAATAAGATCAAGATTTTTTTAAGAGTTTATATAGCATAATTGCTAATTGAGAAAAGATAGAAAAGCAACTTGGGCAATTTTTGGTGGCAATTATTAGGTGATAGTACCCCTCCTGAACAAATTTATACAAGCAAATATGCTTATTAAGCATAATTTTTACCATCACTTTAAGGAAGAAAATAATTATTACAGGAAAAGTAGATGAGTTAGCGGATAATCTGCTCTTTTTTCACCTTTAATCTAATTTTTTGTTATTTTCTCATTTTAGGAAACAGACCAGCCATTGAGGCTAAAGCAAATGAAAAGAAAAGACGAAACTGTAATGAAAATTCATGTTTGATTAGTTCTCGGAAAAATTTTTTCTTTTTCCGTCTGCATTGGTAGCCTCGACCAATAAAGATTTCTCAATGGAGACAATTTTTCTTGTATTAAAGGTTGTTTCTTTGATGGAAACACGAAAGCATATACTTTTCACGCAATTCTATATTTGTGGGTGTGCTAATCTTGTAAAGGGGCAATGTTGTAGTGTATTCAAAATGTGGTAAATAAAATTATTTAAATTAAAAATGTAACTTTTGATAACATTTGTGTCATATAATCGTAATCGTTTATATGATACAGCTTCAAAGAATGGCAACACTAAGAAGTGGTAATGTCTGCCTGTGGTATGCACGGAACCACGTGGACTAAAATGGATTCCATAAATATCTAATTCAATATTTATTATAAATAAGGCCATATGTATATTTAAAGTGTGTGTTTATTGAACGTTACATTATTAATGTAAGACATTTCTCAAAATAGGGCAAACACTACAAGGTTCATTTCCAAACTAAGCGACAATTTTTAGAAACAAGTGTGAAAAAAAATTATTTTCCGGATATTATTATGTAATATTCCTTATTCAAAGGCTCTATCGTCTCAAAAAATGATGCTTTATTGAGGATAACTGCAGTGAGTTTGCTACAGTGCCTATCTTTAGCCAGTGCCCACTAAGTGAAAATAATGCAAACATCAATATGGATAAATGCCCTTCTTTTGAGAAAAAGAAAAACATTTGTGGTCTAATATTTTTCTTTTTTTAATATTTAAAACTTCTTCCAATGCTGCACTATCTGGGCTCATAAAAGTTTGAAGAAGAAAAAATTAACATAAGGCATTGATTTTGATAAGGTGGAGAAATATCGCCAAATTGGCGATTTTTTAAAAAAGGTGAATTACTTTTAAAATATTTTAACCTTTTAGTGGGCCATTTATTTCTAGTAAAGGTAAATTAAAGAATTTTTGGAATTGAAATTCATATTAGAATAGTAATTGATATAAGATAAGAAAGACTCATTTAGCTTATGAGAAATTTATTTAAATTCTAATGGCATTTTTTATTTTATTTTGTGGTAAGTATATTTAACACACCCTATTAGGAACTTATGAACTTTTATTTTTCTTTATTATTAAATTAAATATCATAAATGCGACAAACTTCAGAGGCAATTATGCATTTTATAACTTATATCCATTCTCTTATACTAAAGAATGATTGTCAATTTCAAAAAGCTGACGTTATTAATAAACGGAAACCTAAATTAAAAGTGGTACAAAAGATAACATGGACTCTAAAAATTGGTGGTAAGTATACTTACCACGACTTTAGAAAGGGTTAAATTATTTGTTCGTTCTTAAGCCATGACTTTACGTCAAGATGACATTAATAGCTTCAAGTCTAAGACACTTAAACTGAGGCTTCTTTTTTTTCCCTTGCGAAAGAGCTTCGGTAAACCCAGTTAAGATGCATTTTGGGTAAGAAAAAGTGACGATCGGGTATCGATTGACAGATAAAATTTAATCGTCATTTTTCGCATTTAATTGCCATTTGGCTGGGGTGGGTAGTTAATTTTGCTCTATATCATTGATGCAAGAAAATCAGATGTCACTAGTTGTCATTATGATGCAATTATGTAACTGAATATATTTATTTGCAATTAAAAACTATTAATTTGTTGATCTCATGTAAAACCATAACAGATAAACAACACAATGACGTCAGCAAAACAGGAAACAAATTGAAGATAGAAACATCACAAAAAAAAACCTGTCAAAACTTGTTGTGATTTACAACACTGATCCAAAAACACTCTGTTTACAAACAGTTGCAATAATTCAGCGCAGTTGGAATGTTTCTTCCCCCAATTCCATGTTTCTAATTACATAACCTCTACGTTTCGTTGCTGTTCTTGTTTTATTTTCGCAGATGTAGAAAGGTAGAAAAATCTTTTTTTTCTACTTCTATAAGAGCGTGTATCTTTACTTTAGTGTGGTTTAGAATGGGAATAATCGTGACTTTCACAAACAAATAATTATAATTTATGTTTACAATTGACAATGAATTATTTATGTTAAAATAAATAAAAATAAGTAATTTAATTTGAAATTGCTAGGCTACCAGTCTTTTTTTGGATAAATAACAGCCCTGGAACATAGTAGAAAATGCTTACATTGTGCCAAATTTGAACTCGTACTAGTGAACTGTCGTTTTCAAAGTCAAATAAAACCAATTTATTTAATTGGTCAAACATTAATGTTCCCATACCTGCCAACTTTTAATCCCTTCCATTATGATTTTTCCCAGTGGTAGTAAAATAGAATAAAAATTTCAATTGCAAGCAAAAAAATACGCTGTATTTGAAAAAACATCAGCTGACAACCATGACTTAGACTGAGTTCTTCTTCGGAGTCCCTGTCCGCGAAGCGGACACTCCACTCCTTCATCATAAGGTAGTGCCCGTAGGCGCCTGTGGTACTGTCTTTAGCATGAAATACAAGAGAAGTAGCAGAAGCTTTGGTTGGTGTTGGTTTATACCCTGAGCCTAGCTATATAACTGTAAGATATTTGATCAAAAAATTGATAACTGATAGTGAGGGGGAGAAGTTAGGTTGAATGCTAGGGGTGGATACCCCCGAGTCGGACAACCATGATAGTAACGCATATTACTATATATGCTGAATTTTTTTGAGAATAGTGGTGATCAAAATCATTTTAAAATTAAGTTTAAAGAAGAAAATATAGTATATATTTACTACCACTACAAATATAAAAATAAAATTTTACGCCAAATGCGTAAAAGTCGGCAGGTATGATTGTTCCCATTTTCATTTTTCAACAACATTAAGACGAGAAAAACTAACTGTCGCATACCTGCCAACTTTCACTCTTTCCGAGAATGGATTTTCAGAGTGGTTGTAAAACAATAAACGAAAAACAATCTGACTCAAAAATATATTTATATTTTGATCCCGTTGAAATTCTCTTGCACAAATATTATTGTGCTTTGATATATTTATTGCAATTATTTATATGTAGTGGTGGTCAAACTCATTTGCAATTATCATTATAATTCAAAAAGTTAATTGGAATAACCTGAGTATTTCTACCACTTTAAATATGAAAATAAAATCTTCCGGAAAATCCGGATGAGTTAAAATTAATTTGAAAAAGCAAGACATTTGTGACTTCATGCGAGTAATTTAATCTCGGAATAATGCTCATCTTTTAAAACATTAAAAAATACTGGTAGTTCAAATTTTTTATTCCATGTACTTTCATATTGAGAAACTGAATATTCATATCAACCAAAATGTGTCAATTATATAAAATACCTATGATAATATGTTGTCCATTTTTTAACAAAACTAGTGTTAACTGAAGAAAATTTAGATTAAATTTATATGCAAACCTGCTACTATGTTTTTTATAAAGATATTTTTTTCATTAGTGCAAAATAAGAGTACGGCAGGTAAACGGTTAATAATATTTTAAAAAGAATATGTTATATTCTTAAAAGGTTTAATTCTTTAACTTTTAAAAACATTTCGTATCTCGTGGAATAAAATGTGTCCTTAATATAATATAAATGGACTGAGTATAATAAATAAAATGTGTGATTAATATAATAGCAAAGCGGTGCTACCGCTTTTTCCACAAAGTAGCTTTTCTCACTACAATAAAATATGAGCCAGCAGGTAAACGGTTAGAATGTACTCGTACTCCTTGTTTGCAATTTTTTTATAATTTTTTTTTCAAATAATAAAACATAAAAATAATCAAACTAAATCATTTAAAAATACATTTCAATTTCAAATAATTAGTTAAGTTGATTAATTTAGGAAGGATATTGTTAATAAAGAAAGATATAAAATAAATTCTAATAAGGAAACATTTCTCCTCAGTAATAGAAACCATCATTTCTATTACTTTTTTTTGAGAAACAAAATTTTCCTTTTCGAAAAGTCGTAAGCACAAGTAATTTAAATAGAAAACTTGTTAAGTTTCGTTACCACTTTAAAAATAAAAATAATATGATATTGAATATCTTTGAAAGATATGTTCAATTCGAGTTGTTAAAATTCTTAGAACTACAGTGTTACATAATACAAGATTGTTGAGAAATTGAACTCGGTTTTCAATATCTCTTATCTTGTAGGTTGAAATAATCGATTATGAATGCAATTCATTTTATTGTTCTTAAACTGAGAAATGAGGAAACGTTTGGCGAAGATTGCGTTATCCGGTTTCCAACACAGTAAACACGACTTTCATCAAAATATTTATGTTTACTGTTTACAACAGCAGGAGGGCTACACAGGAAGGGTGATTGTGGGGGGATGGAGTGGAGGTTGTTAAACTGCTTACCCCAAAATCATGTAGCGGCTATTTTGGGGGCTCTGTCTGAAACTTTTTGTTCCCTTCAAGGTCATGACCGGTCGGCCATTCATGAGGATTCCATTTTTCTCTTTCTTTTTTCTTTATTCAATCTTGGAGGAAAGGAAGTAGAACGGATATGAGTAGGGGACGATTGTTCAAGGTCATACCTGAAAAGAAGATATACTTTTATTTTCTTTAAATTTGAAAACCAGAAGGGAAGGTGATTATTTGGTTTGTTGGTGAAGATTCTCTCTTGCATGGAATGTCTTGTCAACAGCTGACGATGAAAACGTTTCGAATTATAAATCATCCAATGGAATTCACTGAGTTTAAAACATTAAGAATCTCTTTTTTTTTCCAGATAAGTTAGCCTTCGATAACGTTTTTCTGAAAATTATATATGGATCATTTTTTATGTTTGATTTAATTATCGATTATAACCAGAACATGCGCGAAAAAACATGTAGAATTTTATTTCATTTACATGAAATTTTTCAACTTAATGATTTATTTGCATCTATCACTTTACTTTAACGTTATTATGTTTATGTTTAGGTAAAAATACATATTTCGATTCAAATTGTATGTTTGTATCAAAATATTAGTTTAGGTCAAATTGTATATTTAAATCAAAATTTCAATTTAGATAAAATTGTATGTTTAAATCGAAATTTTAATTTAGATCAAATTGTATGTTTAGATCAAAATATTAGATTAGATCAAAACACTAGCTTATATCAAATTATATACTTGTATCAAAATATTAGTTTAGATCAAATTGTATGTTTAAATAAAAATATTAGCTCAGATTAGTTTGTACGTTTAGATCAAAACAATAATTTAGATCATATTGTATGTTTAGATCAAAATGTATGTTCAAATCAAAAAATTTTGAGATTTTCTTAAACAATAATCTGAAATATTATTATTTAAAAAAAATATTCTGATCTAGTCAGAAAATGTAACTGGCTTTCATCTTTTTTGTTTCGTAACTGCTTTCTGTTGGTCTCCGATTTTTATCTTTTCTTAGCTCACGTTTCATTCCTAATGGAA